TATAACCAAGATGCAAAACTGACTAGAAATAACAACCACAAAGGTGGAAGCACAGGGGAATGAATAAGTGATATAGAAGATAAAATTATGGAAAATAATAAAGCAGAAGAGGGAAAGAAAAATATTGGATCATGAAAGTAGAATTAAGAGGGAGGCAAGATGGTGGAGGAGCAGGGGACTGTTTCAACCAGTCCCCTGAATTTAGCTGGATATCTATCAAACCATTCTGAACACCCACAAAATCAGCTTGAGATGTAAGAATATATATCTGGATCTCTACAAGCAGAAAAACACCACCTGTCCCAAGGTAGGAAGGAAGGAGTCGTGAATCTGTGGGCAGATATTGGAAGATAAGCAGAAGGGGGAGGGAACCACCATAAGCTGGCTCCTGGAAAGTGATGTAACACCAGAGTGCAAAAGCCTCCTGCACCAGGGGACTGGGCAGCCAGCCAGGAGGAGCTTTATAACAGCACTCAAACAAGATCCAGGAGCTCAAGTGCAAACCTGGGACTACTCACGTTTTAGAAGCACAAAGGTCAGAGACAAGCAGGGCCCCTGAGTTGACCACTGAAAAGGTCATAGGGGCATGCACCCCTCATGCGAGGCTGCGGTTTTCAGTGGTACTTTCAGAAACAGAGAGTGTGTTCTGGAGGGTTCACAGATCAGACTGTGATTTCTCTGCTCTGGGACAGAGGTCTGGGTGCAGACATCTTTTTTGCTCTGATCCTCAGAAAAGGCAGGGAAAGCAGCCAGAGAACAAAAGCTCAAAAAACTGGTTTCCACAGAGCCCAGCCTCCTGACAGGGGGAAGGGCAACTCGACCCAAGCAGGGTTGCCTGAAAAACAGTGCTGAAGGCCCTTCCCCCAGGAGACAAGTGGGAAGAAGAAGAGGACAACAACCCTAGGGTACCAATAAAACTGTAAAACCCCAAAACCAGGAGAAAATAGTATACGGAGCTCCAGGCGGGACCTCACAGATTGTGTATTTTCAGATACAACTCTTCTTTTTTCTTTTTTCTTTTTATTCTTTCTCTTAGGTTTCTTCTCTGTTTATTTTTTAACTTTTTCTCATTTCAACTAGATGTTTAATATAACATATTTCATAGTACCTTTTTAACTTGTACTTTTTCACACCTATATTTTTTTGAAATGTAGATATAAACTTCAATGTAGCCCTTTTTTCCCTATTCAATATTACCTTTATATGTATACCAGTTTTATTTTCCCTGTAACTCTGGGAAATAGTGTCCTCTAACAAACAGAACAAAATACATCCAGGAAGAACTGAACACCCTACCTTGCCCACACGGAGAAATTATACCTCCCCCATCCCTCACTTTTCCCTTTTTTTCTCTTCTCTTTTTTTTATTTTAATTTTTAAAAATTTTTAAATTTTATAAATTTTATTCTTGGGTTTCATTTTGACTTTGTTTTTTCAATGGTGGCTTCTGACCATTCCGGATTTTCCTAGGGTGCATCTTGCCGGGCTTGTGGTTGATATTTTGGACTCTATACATTCCCTCAACCATGCCTCAACAGAATGAATAAGAGGAGGAACTTCCAACAAAGAAAAGAACCAGAGACAGTGACCTCTCCTGTAGACCTAATGGATATGGATATAAGCGAGATGTCAGAGATAAATTTCAGGGTAGCAATTATAAAATCAATATCAGCAATAAGAATCTCTAAGGGCAAAAATGAGAGCTAATCAGGTCAAACTTAAAAATGTTATGAATGAGATGCAGTCTAAACTGGATAGTCTAACAGTGAGGGTAAATGAGACAGAAAAATGAATTAGTGACCTAGAAGATAAGCTGATAGAAAGGAAGGAAATGAGGAAGCCTGGGACAAGCAAACAAACAAAAAAACAAGAAAACAGACTTAAAGAGATTAACAATGCCATGAAAAGTTCTAATGTCAAAATTATTGGGATCCCTGGATGCCTGGGTGGCTCAGTCATTAAGTGTCTGCCTTTGGCTCAAGTCATGATCCCAGGATCCTGGGACAGAGCCCCTCATCAGGCTCCTTGCTCTGCGGGAAGCCTGCTTCTCCCTCTCCCACTCCCCTGCTTGTGTTCCCTCTCTTGCTTTGTCTTTCTCTGTCAAATAAATCAACAAAATCTTAAAAAAAAAAAAAAAGAATTACTGGGATCCCTGAGGTGGTGAAGAGAGAGGAATAGAAGGTATATTTGAGCAAATCCTAGCTGAGAACTTCCATAATCTGGAGAAGGAAACAAGCATTCATGTCCAAGAGGCAGAGAGGACCACTCCCAAGATCACTGAGAACAGACCAAAGCCCCAACATATAATAGTAAAATTCGCAAATCTTAGAACAAATGAAGACATCCTGAGAGCAATTAGGGGGAAGAGATTATATACAGAGGAAGGAACATCAGAATAACATCAGACCTGGGCGCCTGGGTGGCTCAGTTGGTTAAGTGACTGCCTTCGGCTCAGGTCATGATCCTGGAGTCCCAGGATCGAGTCCCGCATCAGGCTCCCTGCTCAGCAGGGAGTCTGCTTCTCCCTCTGACCCTCCTCCCTCTCATGCTCTCTGTCTCTCATTCTCTCTCTCTCAAATAAGTAAATAAAATCTTTAAAAAAAAAAAAAAAAGAATAACATCAGACCTATCCACAGAGACCTGGCAAGCCAGAAAGGGCTGGCCAGACATATTCAGGGTATTAAATGAGAAGAACATGCAGCCAAGAATACTTTATCCAGCAAGGCTGTCCTTCAGAATAGATGGAGACATGCAGAGCTTCCAAGACCTGCAGAAACTGAAAGAATATGTGACCACCAAGCCAGCCCTGCAAGAAATATTAAGGGGGATTCTATAAAAGAAGAAAAACCCCAAGAATAATATAGACCAGAAATTTATAGAGACAATCCATAGAAACAGGGACTGTACAGACAATAAGATGGCAATAAATACAGATATTTCAGTAGTTACTCTCAACATGAATGGCCTAAATGCTCCCATGAAATGGCAGAGGGTTGCAGATTGTATACAAAGACAGGACCCATCCATACGCTGTTTAGAAAAGACTCATTTTGAACCTAAAGACACCTCCAGACTATAAGGGGATGGAGAATCTTTTTTCATGCCAATGGACCTTAAAAGAAAGATGAGGTAGCAATTCTTATATCAGACAAATTAGAATTTAAACCAAACACTGTATTAAGAGATGCAGAGGGACACTATATAATACTTAAAGGGTCTATCCAACAAGAAAATCTAACAACTGTAAATATCTAAGCCCCCAACATGGGAGCAGCCAACTATATAAGCCAGCTGTTAACCAAAATAAATAATCATATTGACAATGATACATTAATAGTGGGAGATTTTAACACTCCACTCTCAGCATTGGACAAATCATCTAAGCAGAAGATCAACAAAGAAACAAGAGCTTTGAATGACATACTGGACCATATGGACTTCATAGATATATACAGAACATTCCACCCTAAAACAGCAGCGTACTCATTCTTCTCGAATGCACATGGAACTTTCACCAAGATAGACCACATACTGGGTCATAAATCAGGTCTCAGCTAATACCAAAAGATTGAGATTATTCCCTGCATGTTATCAGACCACAATGCCTTGAAACTGGAACTCAATCACAAGAAAAAATTTGGAAGGAATTCTAAAACTTGGAAATTAAAGAGCATCCTGCTAAAAAATGATTGGGTCAACCAGGAAATTAAAGAAGAACTTAAAGATTTCATAGAAATAAATGAGAATGAAAACACTTCAGTTCAAAACCTATGGGATACCACTGGCATTTTTCAAGGAGCTGGAACAAACAATCCTAAAATTTGTATGGAAGCAGAAATGACACTGAATTGCCAAGGGAATGTTGAAAAAGAAAAACAAAGCTGGGGGCATCACATTGCCATCTTCAAGCTATATTACAAAGCTGTGATCACTAAGACAGCATGGTATTGGCACAAAAACAGACACATAGACCAATGGAACAGAAGAGAGACTCTAGAAATGGACCCTCAACTCTATGGCCAACTAATCTTTGACACAGCTGGAAAGAATATCCAATGGAAAAAGACTGTCTCTTCAATAAATGGTGTTGGGAAAATTGGACAGGTTCATATAGAAGAATGGAACTGGACCACTTTCTTACACCATACACAAAGATAAAACCAAAATGGATGAAAAAACTCAATGTGAGACATGAATCCATCAAAATCCTAGAGGAGAACATAAGCAGTAAGCTCTTCAACTTTGGCTGCAACAACTTCTTTCAAGACACATCTCCAAAGGCAAGGGAAACAAAAGCAAAAATGAACTTTTGGGACCTCGCCAAAACAAAACGCTTTTGCACAGCAAAGGAAAAAGTCAACAAAACAAAGAGGCAACCCATGGAACGGGACAAGATATTTGCAAATGACATACTGGTAAAGGGCTGATATCCAAAATCTATAAAGAACTTCTCAAACTCAACACTCAGAGAACAAATAACCCAGTCAAAAAATGGGCAGAAGATGTAAACAGACACTTCTCCAAAGAAGACATACAAATGGCTAACAGACACATGAAAAAATGTTCATCATCCTTAACTATCAGGGAAATACAAATCAAAACCACAGTTACATTAGTTAGAATGGCCAAAATTACCAAAACAGGAAATAACAAATGTTGGCGAGGATGTGGAGAAAGGGGAACCCCCTTACACTGTTGGTGGGAAAGCAAGCTGGTACAACCACTCTTGAAAACAGTATGGAGGTTCCTCAAGAAGTTAAAAATAGAGCTACTCTAAGAACCAACAATTGCAGTACTAGGTATTTATCCCAATGATACAGATATAGTGAAAAGAAGGGGACATGCACCCCAATGTTCATAGCAGCAATGTCCACAATAGCCAAACTGTGGAAGGAGCTGAGATGCCCAACAGATGAATGGATAAAGAATAAGTGGTACATATATCCAATGGAATATTATTCAGCCATCAGAAAGGAAGAATGCCCACCATTTGAATCAACATGGATGGTACTGGAGGGCATTATGGTAAGTGAAGTAAGTCAAGCATAGAAAGACAATTATCATATGGTTTCATTCATATGTGGAACATAAGCAATAGCACAGAGTACCATAGGGGAAGGGAAAGGAATCTGAAGGGGGAGAAATCAGAGAGGGAGATGAACCATGAGAGACTATGGACCCTGGGAAACACACTGAGGGTTTCAGAGAGGAGGATGGTGGAGGGATGGGGTAACAGGGTGATGGGTATTAAGGAGGGCATGTATTGTGATGAGCACTGGGTGTTATATGCAATTAATGAATCATTGAACACTACATCAAAAACTAATGATGTACTATGTAGTGGCTAACTGAACATAATAAAAATAAATAAATAAATAAATAAATGAAAGTAGAATTAGGGAACTCAGTGACTCAATAAAGCATAATGACATTCATCTCATAGGAGTCCCAGAAAAAGAAGAGAAGGAAAAATTTGCAGAAGGTTGATTTGAGCAAATTATAGCTGAAAACTTCCCTAATTTGGGGATATAAACAGACATCTAAATCCAGGAGGCACAGAGAATTCCCATCAAAATCAACAAAAACAGCCCAACACCAAGAAATATCATAAAATTTGGAAAATACAGACATAAGGAAAGAATCCTGGAAGAAGCAAGGGAATAGAAAACCCTGACTTACAAGACAAGAAAAATAAGGTTAGCAGCACATCTATCCACAAAAATCTGGCATGCCAAAAGAGAGTGGCATGATATATTCAAGGTGCTGAATGGGAAATATATGCAGCCATGAATACTTTATCCAGCAAGCCTATCATTCAGAAGAGAAGGAGAGATAAAGAGTTTTCCAGACAAACAAAACTAAAGGAGTTCATGACCACTAAACCAACCCTGCAAGAAATAATAAAGGGACTATTTGAGTGGGAAAGTGAGACTAAAATCAACAAAGACTAGAAAGGAAGAGAAAATCTCCAAAAACAACAATTTTACAGGTAATACAATGGCACTAAATTCATATCTATCAGCAATCACTCTGAATGTAAATGCTCCAATCAAAAGACAGATGGTATCAGAATAGATTTAAAAATCAAAAAGTATCTGTATGCTGCCTACCAGACTCATTTTAGACCTAGAGACACTTGCAGATTGAAAGTGAGGGAATGGCGAACCATCACGCATGTTAACAGATATCAAAAGAAAGCCGGAATAGCCATACTTATATCAGAAAAACTAGATTTTAACCAAAGACTGTAACAAGAAATGAAGAAGGGCACTATATCATAATAAAGGTGTCTATCCAAAAAGAAGATCTAACAATTGCAAATACTTGTGCCCCCAACTCGGTAACACCCAATATATAAAACATTTAATAACAAGTATAAAGAAACTCTTTGATAATAACACAATAATAGTAGGGGACTTTAACACCCCACTTATATGAATGGACAGATCATCTAAGCAGATAAACAAGGAAACAATGGCTTTGAATGACACACTGGACCAAATGGACCTCACAGATTTATTCAGAAAATTTGATCCTGAAGCAGCAGGATACACTTCCTTTCTGAGTGCACTTGGATATTCTTCAGAATAGACCACATACTAGGTTACAAATCATGCCTCAACAAGAACAAGATTATGATCATACCATGCATCTTTTCTGACCACAATGCTATGAAACTTGAAGTCAATCATAAGAAAATTTTGGAAAGACCACAAATACATGGAGGGTAAAAAACATTCTATTAAAGAATGAATAGGTTAACCAGGAAATTAAAGAAGAAATAAAAAAATATAGGGAAACAAATGAAGATAAAAACAAAAGAGTTCAAAATCCTTGGGATGCAGCAAAAGCAGTCATAAGAGGGAATTATATAGCAATATAAGCCTACCTCAAGAAACAAGAAAAATCTCTACTCAAGATAACCATACCCCCTAAAAGAGCTAGAAAAAGAACAAATAAAGCCTAAAGGAATTTACTATTTCTTAGTCTTACTGCTTTGGGAAGACCCTAAACTTTACAGCATGTATCAAGTTTGAATGTTAAGAAGAAAACTGAAACAATTTTTTGGCTGAGGCTCAGAAAAGCACAAAACACTGTCATCTTGACCTTACTTTTCTGCTGCACTGTTTTACAACCTATATTTTAATGTGACCCATAACTAATATCATCCTCAATGGGGAATAACTGAGAGATTTCCTCTAAGGTAAGAACAAACAGGAATGTCCACTTTCACCATTGTTATTTAACATAGTAGTGGAAGCCATAGCCTCAGCAGTAAGACAACAAAAATAAATAAAAAGTATCCTGAGGCACCTGGGTGGCTCACTTGGTTAAAAGAGCTGACTCTTGATTTCAGCTCAGGTTATGATCTCAGGGTCTTGGGATTGGGCCCCACATCAGGCTCCATGCTCAGTGTGGAGTCTGCTTGAAATTCTATCCCTCTGCCCCTCCCCCTGCTTCATGTCTTCTCTCTCTCAAATAAATAAAATCTTTTAAATAAAGAAATAAAAAGCATCCAAATTAGCAAAGAAGTCAAACTTTCACTCTGCAGATGACATGATACTCTATGTAGAAAACCTGATAGACTCCACCAAAAAAATTGGTAGAACCGATACATAATACAACATTGCAAGGTAAGAATCAATGTACAGAAATCTGTTTAATTTCTATACACCAATAATGAAGCAGCAGAAGGAGAAATCAAGGAGTTAATCCCATTTACAATTGTACCAACAACAATAAGATACCTAGGAATAAATCTATCCAAAGAGGTGAAAGGTCTGTACACTGAAAACTATAAAACACTGATGAAAGAAATTGAAGAGGACGCAAGAAATGGAAACACATTCCATGCTCATGGAGTGGAAGAACAAATATTGCTAAAATGTCTATACTACCCAAAGCAATCTATACATTTAATCCAATCCCTATCAAATTACCATCAGCATTTTTCACAGAACTAGAACAAACAATGCTAAAATTTGTATGGAACCACAGAACACCCCGAATATCCAATGCAATCTTGAAAAAGAAAAGTAAAGCTGGAGGCATCATAATTCTGGACTTCAAGCTATCTTACAAAGCTGTAGTCATCAAATATAGTAGTGGCACAAAAATAGACACATAGATCAATGGAACAGAAGAGAAAACCAAGAAATGGACCCACAAGTATATGGTCAACTAATCTTCAAGCAAGAAAGAATATCCAATGGAAAAAAAGTCTCTTCAACAAATGGTGTTGGGAATACTGGACAGCAACATGTAGAAAAAAGGAACTGGGCCACTTTCTTAAACCAAACATAAAAATAAATTCAAAATGGATGAAAGACCTAAATGTGAGACAGGAATCCATCAAAATCTTAGAGGAGAAGACAGGCAGCAACTTCTTTGACCTCAGCTACAGCAACTTCTTACTAGACACATTGTTTGAGGTTTGGGAAACAAAACCAAAAATGAACTATTGGGACTTGATCAAGATAAAAAGCTTCTGCACAGCAAAGAAAACAATCAACAAAACTAAAAAACAGTGTATGGAATGGAAGTAGATACTTGCAAAGGACATATCTGATAAAGGGTTAATATCTGAAATCTATAAAGAACTTAACCAACTCAACATCCAAAAAAAGAGATAACCCAGTTAAGAAATGGGCAGGAGACATGAATAGACACTTTTCCAAAGAAAACATCCAGATGGCTAACAGACACATGAAATCAAAATCGTGATGAGACACCACCTCAAACCTGTCAGTATGGCTAAAATTAACAACACAAGAAACCATAGATGTTGGTGAGGATGTGAAGAAACGGTAAACCTCTTGTACTGTTGGTGGGAATTCAAAGTGGTACAGCCACTCTGGGAAACGATATGAAGCTTCCTTAGAAAGTTAAAAATAGAGCCACTCTATAACCCAGCAATTGCACTACTAGGTATTTACTAAAAGGTTACAAAAATACTGATTCCAAGGGGCACATGCACCCCAATGTTTATAGCAACATTATCAAAAATAGGTAAATTTTAGAAAGAGCCAAAATATGTCCATCAAGTGGACAATGGATAAAGATATGGCATGTGTGTCTTTGTGTGTGTGTGTATATTACCCAGCCATCAAAAAGAATGAAATCTTATAATTTGCAATGACATGGATGTAGCTAGATTTTATTATCCTAAGTGAAACAAGTCAGTCAGAGAAAGTCAAATACCATATTATTTCACACATATGTGGAATAAAGAAAACAGATTAACATAGGGGAAGGGGAAAATAGAGAAAAGCAAACCATGAAAAACTCTTAACTATATATAGAGAACAAACTGAGTGTTGATGGAAGGGAGGTGGGAGGTGGATGGGATAAATTGGTGATGGGTATTAAGGAGGGGACTTATGTTGAGTACTGGCTGGTATATGTAAGTGATGAATCACCAACTTCTACTCCTGAAACCAATATTACACTATAGATTTACTATCAAGAATTTAAATAAAAATTTGAAAAAAATGCATATATAATAAAATAAAGTAATATAAAATAAAATAAAATTACTATGAATAAAAATAAATGTTATAGACATTAAAAGAGAATAAAAGATATATTATGAATAACTATAAAATGATATATACATATGGGAAATGGAAGAAGAATTCCAAAATACAAAGCACCATTAACAAAATTACATATAAAATGAAAAATTGGAAAAAAAAATAAAGCCAGAGTAGCATTACTTATATTGGACAAAATATACTTTAAAATAAAGTATGTAAAGGGGGCATCTGGGTGGCATAGTCGGTTAAGTGTCAAACTCTTGGTTTTGGCTCAAGTCATAGCTTAAGGTTGTGAGATCAAGCCATGTGCTGAACATGGTGTCTGTTTTAGATTCTGTCCTTCTCCTTCAGTCCCTCCCCCAACTCATGCATGCACGCATGCACACTCTCTCTCTCAAATAAATAAATCTTTAAAAAAACCCACAAAAATATATAAAGGGTCAAAAAGGGCACTATATAATAATTGAGGGAACAATACAACAAGAGAATATCAGAATTGTAAACATTTATGCACCCAACATGGGAGCACCCACATACATTAAACAGTTAATGGCAAACATAAAGGAACTAATAGATATGAATACAATGATAGTAGTGGACTTGAACACCCCCATTACAGGGATGGACAGATCACCCAAACAAATAATCAAAAAGGAACAGAGGCTTTGAATGACACACTGGACCAGATGGATTTAACAGATATATTCAGAACATTCCATCCTAAAACAGCAGAATACACATTCTTTTCAAGTACACATGAAATTTTCTCCAGAATGAATCACATATTGGGCCACAAAACCAGCCTCAAAAAATTCAAAATGAACAAAATCAAACCATCCATGTTTCCTGACCACAACACTATGAAACTTGAAGTTAACCACAAGAAAAATCCTGGAAAGACCAAAAATACATGGGGGTTAAATAACATGCTACATAAAACAATGAATGGGTAAACCAAGAAGTCAAAGAAAAAAATCAAAAAGTACATGGAAATAAAAAAATGAAAACACAAAGGTCCAAAATCTTTGGGATACAGCAAAAATGGTTCTAAGAGGGATGTATATAGTAATAGGAGCCTACCTCAAGAAGCAAGAATAATCTCAAATAAACAACCTAACCTTATAACTAAAGCATCTAAAAAAAAGATAAAATAAAAACCAAACCAGCAGAAGGAAGGAAATAATAAAAAGTAGAACAGAAATAAATTATAAAGAATCTAAAAACAAAAACAAAACAAAACAAAACAAAAAAACAACAATGGAACTGGTCAATGAAACCAGGAGCCAGTTCTTTGAAAACACTAATAAAATTGATAAACCTCTACCCAGACTGCTCAAAAAGAAAAAAGAAAGGACCCAAATAAAACCACAAATGAGAGAAAAGAAACAACAAGCAATACCATAGAAATACAAGCAGTTGTAAGAGCATATTATGAAAAATTATATGCCAACAAATTAGACAAACTAGAAGAAATGGATAAATTCCTAGAAACATATAACCTTCCAAAACTGAAGTTGGAAGAAATAGAAAATTTGAACAGACTGATTACCAAGAAGGAAATTGAATCAATAATCAAAAAACTCCCAACAAACTAAAGTCCAGGACCAGACTGCTTCACAGGTTAAATTCTACCAAATATTTAAAGAGTTAATACTGCCTCTCTAAGCTCAGACCTAGTTTGCGGCGACGTGGCTAAACACACCAAGAAGGTCAGAACTGTGGGTAAATACAAGACCTGTTATGGTGCTTCCCTCAGGAAAATGGTGAAGAAGATTGATATAAGCCAGCACGCCAAGTACACTTGCTCCTTCTGTGGCAAAACCAAGATGAAAAGACGAGCTGTGGGGATCCGGCACTGTGGCTCCTGCGTGAAAACCGTCGCCAGTGGCACCTGGACCTACAACACCACTTCTGCCATAACAGTAAAATCTGCCATCAGAAGACTGAAGGAGTTGAAAGACCAGTAGAAGCTCCACTATTGAAACACTGCTAGCCTATAATAAATGGGTTAATTTATGTAACAAAAATTATTAATTAATTAATTAAAGAGTTAATACTTATTCTTCTCAAACTATTCCAAAAAATAGAAGAAGGAAACTTCCAAATTCATTTTATGAAGCCAGTATCACCTTGACAGCAAAAACAGATAAAGACACCACACAAGGGTGCCTGGTTGGCTCAGTTGGTTAAGCGACTGCCTTCGGCTCAGGTCATGATCCTGGAGTCCCGGGATCGAGTCCCGCATCAGGCTACCTGCTCAGCAGGGAGTCTGCTTCTCCCTCTCCCACTCCCCCCTCTTGTGCTCTTTCTCTCTCTCACTCTCTCTCTCAAATAAATAAATAAACTCTTTAAAAAAAAAAAGACACCACACAAAAAGATAAGTGCAGGTTAATATCTCTGATGAAGAAAAATGCAAAAATCCTCAACAGAGTACTAGCAAACCTAATTCAACAATATATTAAAACAATGATTCACCACAATCAAGTGAGATTTATTCCCAGGATGCAAGAGCGATTCAATATTTGCAAATTAACCAATGTAATACATGTCAACAAGAGAAAGGATAAAAACCATATGATCATTTCAATAGACACAGAAAAACATTTAAAAATTACAACATCCATTCATGATAAACATCTTAAACAAATTAGTTTTAGAGGAAACATACCTCAACAAAATAAAGGCCATATATGAAAAACCCACAGCCAATATCATACTTAGTGGGGGAAAACTGAGAGCTTTCATTAATCAGACAACAAAAGGAAGTAAAAAGCATCCAAATTGGTAAGGATGGACTGAAATTTTCACTATTTGCCAATGACATGATACTATATAGAGAAAACCCAAGACCAGAGAAAAACTATTATAAGTGATAAATGAATTCAGTAAAGTCACAGGATACAAAATCAATGTCCAGAAATCTTTTGCATTTCTATACACAAATAATGAAGCAGCAGAGAGAGAAAATAAGAAAACATTCCCATTTACAATTGCACCAAAAATAATAAGATACCTAGGAATAAAACTAACCAAAGAGGTGAATGACCTTCACTCTGAAAACTATAAAATACTGATGAAAGTATTCAAGACAACACAAAGAAATGGCAAGACATTCCATGATCATGGATTGGAAGAACAATTATTGTTAAAATGCCTATACTACCCAACACAATCTCCAGATTTGATGCAGTCCCTATGTAGAATGTAAGAAACTAAACAAAAGAACATAGGGTAAAAAAAAAAAGGAAAACCAAGAAACAGACTCTTAACTATAAAGAACAAACTGATGGTTATCAGAGGGGATGAGAGTGGGGGGAATAGGCTAAACAGGTGATTGCAATTAAGGAGGGCATTTGTTGTGATGGGCACCAGGTTTTCTAAGTATGTGTAGACTCACTAAATTCTGTACCTGAAACTAATATTACACAATACATGAACTATCTGGAATTTAAATAAAACTTGAGAAAAAAAAAAGCAACTATCAAAATACCAACAGCATTTTTCCACAGAGCTAGAACAAACAATCCTAAAATGTCTTTGGAAACATGAAAGAGCCCAAACAGCCAAAGCAATCTTAAAAAGAAAAACAAAGCTGTAGGTATCACAATTACAGACCAAGTTATCTTACAAAGCTGTAGTAATCAAAACTGTGTCATACTTGCACAAAAATAGACACTGATCAAAAGACCAGAATAGAAAACCCAGAATTAGACCCACAATTATATGTTCAATTCATCATTGACAAAGCAGGAAATAATACCCAAAGGGAAAAAGTCTCTTCAACAAATGGTGTTAGGAAAACTGGTCAGCTACATGCAAAAGAATGAAACTGGACCATTTTCTTACACCATACACAAAAATAAATTCAAAATGGATTAAAGACCTAAATGTGAGCACTGAAACCATAAAAATCCTTAAAGAAAGCATAGGCAATATTGTCTCTGACACCAGCTGTAGCAACATTTTTCTAGCTATACCTCCTGAGGCAAGGGGAAAGAAACACAAAAAATTAACTATTGGGACTATATCAAAATAAAAAGCTTCCTCACAGCAGAGGAAACAATCAACAAAACTAAAAGGCCATCTACTGAATAGGAGAAGATACTTTGTAAATGATATATCCAATAAAGTATTAGTATCCAAAATATACAAAGAACTTATAAAACTCAACATCAAAAAACCAATAATCCAACTAAAAATGAGCAGAAGACATGAACAGACATTTCTCCAAAGAAGGCACACAGATGGCCAACAGACACATGAAAAGATGCTCAACAGTCACTCATCATCAGGGAAATGTAAATCAAAACTACAATGAGATATCACTTCACACTTACAGTATGGTTAAAATGAAAGGCACAAGAAACAACAAGTCTTGGCAAGGATGTAGATAAAAAGGAATTTCTTTGAACTGTTGGTGGGAATGCAAGCTGGTGGAGCAACTGTGGAGAACAGTATGGAGGTACTGGGTATTTACCTCCAAAATACAAACAAACAAAAAAAACCCAAAACCACTAATTCAAAGTCATACATGAACCCAATGCTTATAGCAGCAATACTTACAATAGCCAAATTATGGAAGCAGCCCAAGTGTCCCTGGAGAGATGAATGGATAAAGAAGAAGTGGTATATATATAGAATGGAATACTATTCAGCCATAAAAAGATGAAATTGTGCCATTTGCAACATGGATGGAGTCAGAGAGTATAATGCTAAGTGAAATATGTCAGAGAAAGACAAATACCTTATGATTTCAGTCATGTGTGTAATTTAAGAAGCAAAACAAACAAGCAAGGGAAATAGAACGAGAAAGAGAGAGAGAAACCAAGAAACAGACTCTTAACTATAGAGAACAAACTCATGATTACCAGAGGGGATGTGGGTGGAAGTATGGGTAAAATAGGTGGTGGGGATTAATGAGTACACTTACCAAGATGAGCACTAAATGATGTATGGAATTGTTGAATCACTATATTGTACACCTAAAACTAATATAATACTGTATATTAACTATATTGGAATCAAAATGAAATTTAAAAATTTTAAAAAATATTTTAATAAATGTCACTTAGTCTACGGCCATCCCACCCTGAGCGCACCCGATCTCATCATAATAAATGTCACTTAATCCTATTAGTGCAAAATTCTCATTTTAATAAGAATTGAGAGCATTAAAAAAGATCCATTTATGAAGAAAATGAGTTTTATGTTTTCATTTTTCCCACTGAAGATACATTTTGATAATAACCTTCAGTGTTTAGGAACCTAATAGTCATTAGCATTTGATTTGTCATCTCTTTTGCTTTTTAGCACAGACCAAAAATGTTAATCTGCACATCATATAAATCAGAGAATAAAGAATTGAGTTATTTTAGATTTGAAAGGATAAACTAGTTAAAATTTCATCTTATAGTTGAAAAATGAGGAAATCACTATATTCAAACTCCTTTCATCCTCTTAGAAGTAACTATGCTTTCTAAGACAAACATATTGTTATAGTCTACATGTTCTGCCTGCAATAACATTAGTGAATCTTTATTCATTGCTCCTGATAACTTCACACCACTTTGAGCTATGGTTACATAAGATAAAGAAATAATAGTTCCTTCAGAATAATAAAGTTTGTTTGCTTTTTGTCCCCAGGATATATTATTGGATGCCTCATTCTTGGCAATTTAATTCAAGATTACTAAATCTAATTGTAGATGAGATTTTCACAATTTGGATTTTCTAATCCCAGACTTCAAAACAAATCTCACTCTAACCTTAGTTTCATAAGTCCAAACCCTTGATCAAGAGGAAAGATATTTAGTTCTCATTTAGCATTAAACGTAAAGACCAAATATTTATATCTGGTTTTAAATAAAATAGAAATAAGTGCCCAAATCTTGATTATGTGAAAAGACCTGCCCAAGATTAAAATTTATTTTATGGTTGGTTAAAAAGATAAAGATGCTTTATGGAATGGGCAAAATGGGTGAGGGTTTCAAGCAGGATCACTAATCTGAGAAAAACTTGATCTTCATGCTCTGTCAGCATAAACTGTCAACCTTTGAAACATTGTCATGCCTGCTTCAAGGGAACCAATCAACACATGCCACTGGACTAGTATAGAAATATTATTGATATATGTGAGGAAGATGGAAATCTGAAGCAGAAAATGAAGACATCAAATATTACTACACAAACTAATATACCCTCAGTTCCAGCCATAGGAAGAAGTAGGTCTTTGTGGTTTATATCCATATCTTGAATCAGATTGGGTAATTGAAGTTCATTTCTATTTGTGAAAATATTGTCTTCCCTGTCAACAACACTTAGAATGTGAAAAAAAGCTTTATAAATAACAGGCCATCACAATAACAAGGTGAAAAAGAGATGCTGTAATGTCCTACTCTTGACCAACAGCTTCAAATACTGCAAGGGCTCAATTGCTAATTGCACAATTAGATGCAGATATTTATATATCTGTATATACCATATATAATATATAATAAAATATTTTTAAAATATATTATTTAATAACATTTAATAAAACAATATATTTATAATATTTATAAATAATGTATATTTATAATATATAAAATATATAACATATGTATGTATATGTGTATATATATTATTTATATACACATATATATGTATAGATAGATATATGTAGTTATAAATATTTAGCACAGGTAGTTCAAATTATGGGAAATTATATCAAAATATCATGAGGAATTTGCATCATAGCAGGACTTTACTTGAAACATAGGGAAAAGTGAAGATTTTTGCTTCTAGGTATTTTTTTAAGTGGCAACCAACATTAGAAACTTTCAATGAATCTTTTTTTTTCCTTAGAAAGTATCCTAATCTTGGGACACCTGGGTGGCTCAGTTGGTTAAGCATTTAACTCTTCAGCTGGGCTCAGGTCATGATCCCAGAGTCATGAGATGGAGCCCCATGTGGACTCCATGCCCAGCATGGAGCCTGCTTAAGATTCTCTCTCCCTCTCCTGCTCCTCCCCCTCCTCCCACCCACGGGTATACTGGCACTCTGTCTCTGTCTCTCTCTCAAAAAAAAGTATCCTAATCTCTTAAAAAGTTGAAAATTAACCTTGTCAATGTCACATAGATAAGTTTTAACATAATTTTCTTTGTACTAAGCAGAATCATTTGGTAATCACTTCATTCTTCCATTTCTCACTTTCTCCTTTTTCTTCTTTGTCTCTTTTTTTCTTCTTCCTTCCTCTTATATCATGAACTTGTTGTGATCCCCAGCCTCAAGTTTACCTATCTACTTGTCTGTCAATTAAATCTAAGAGTCAGAAGACCTTATTCTGGTCCCCAACTTTATCATTTACTAGTCATACGAACATAAGCAAAATAAATTATTACTCTGAAATGCATTTTCAAAGTATTCAAAATGTAGAATAATAATGCTTTCCTTGTTTATGCCAAAGCATAGATAATATCACAAAAAATAAAATTTAAGTTAAAATATTTATATATTAATTTTTAAGATAAATATTCTAAGTTTCATGTTACTTATATACATTTTTGATACATTCAATAAATCTTTTCCACCACTGCCTTTGTTTTCAGTTAATTAATATAGAATTGTCAGTAACAAGACCCCTTCATGTGTAAATTGACCTATTTTTCCCTAAAAATTTTCCCTATATCTCTCCCTTCTCTCCCTTTGCTATCTGAACTTTACATATACATTTTATATATCCCTAGTTAGGATAAACTGATTTTACTGTCTTGTCTATTCAACAAAAATAAAACAAATTAATATTAATTAAATTTTCACCTTATTCTGTAGGACAGAAGTTATTATTATGGTTGGCCTACTTGTAACACTTATTAAAGTTTATGGATAAATCATAACATGTTTATTTTCTTTCTTTTTATTTAATCTTCCTATCCCTTCAGCATACATAGCACTTTCATGACAAGACCTTTTTGAAGTCAAAGTGTACTCAGTTAATGTCATCCATGTCATAGCCCTCTGCATGCCTGGGGCTATGTTTTACGTTCCTTCCTCATTAATCTTTGTCATATTCATTATTTTTAATAAGCAGTCAAGACAGTTATTTGTCCATGGAGCCATCCAAATGCCTCAATACTTTTAAGTAGATCATGTAGTTCATTTTTGCCTTATCACACATTCTAAAACAGAATGAAATTTTAGAGCAAGTTTATTTCTAAGACTCATCTAATAACCTCTAGTGAGCCTGTCTTTTTATTATTTGCTGATAATATCTCAAAGAAATTCAAATGAAAACAGATTTTAACAAAGCTAAAATTATGCCAATAGGTTTATTTGTTTTATGTAAATTTCTTAAGCAACTTTCAAGACAAATCAGAAATGTATTATAAATTTGTTATTATCCTGAGGGAGATATGACAAAATTATTCTTAGAAATAATTTCTTTGAAATAATAAAACACTGCATTTCAAAGCAATACATTTGTCTTGATGGTTGGTGGAGAGACTGTATCACTAATACCTGATTTGAATTTGGTAAGGTCCCATTCTGATTTTATATGTTATTTTTTTATTTTCCAAATAAACTTATTCTGTGTTTTTATTCTGCTATCTAATATGATAGCCACTAACCACTTGTGGCTATTAAAGTTAAGATTAAATTAAATTAAAAATTCAGTGACTTGGTAACACTAACCCCATCTTAAGTACTTAATGGCCACATATAGCCAATAGCTACCATATTGGCTATCACAGATTATAGAACTTTTATCATTGCAGAAAGTTACATTGGATAGTGTTGTTTTAGAGATAGTATCTACTCTGCTATACAACTTACAATTTAAAGTGATAAATATCACATATCTATAAACAGTCAAATGATTTAAAGCATCTCCAAAAATCATCGGCAGGTCTATCTACTTTCTACTGGGTGTTTATTCTCCCAATTCTGCCTTTGTGGTATGTACATCAACATCCTCATATTATGACTGAAGAAACTAAAGGTCAGAAAAATTAATTAAGGTGACATATCTAGTCAGCATTAAGCACAAAATTGTGATCCATATCGTTCCGACTCCTGCATATTTTCCCATTTCATAAGATAAGGAGATACCTTTGCAGGGGTCTTACCTAAAAAATGCTCATTTATAAATCTTCTATCCCTTCTTTCTGTTTTTACTCCTTATACTCACACACTAGTATGCATTTCACTTGAATTAGCTCAAGAAATCTATAACCTTCTTTTCCTGAATGTATTTATAAACAAATATGTCTTTACAACATATCATCAGCTGAGCAGTTTTCCAATATTATACATCTTCTAGGCCAAAATCTTCAGATGATATACATAAAATATTTCTGTGTTCTTAGAGTATTTTTGTAACATTGGCCATTATGTTCATCATAATAATCTGACAGTGAATAGTCAGAAAATGTTTATGAAACTTTAAAAATTCCTTAACCAATCTATATTAAGTCTGAACATTTGTTCTTTCACACATTTTCCAGGATCATTCAAGTGCATTGAACTATTTCAATATCCAAATCTGAGTTTCCTACTATCCTATGTACTATATAGGTAATTAAAAGGAATCACCCATTCACTTGATAAATAAGATCCCTCTGCACATATTTCAAATACAATTATTCCACCTATTCTTCTTTCTGCCTTCCCTATCCCAAGACCCAAGTCAGACCAAAATAGGTTCTTCAGATAAACTGAAACTTTTTGGCTAAAAATGTTACATACCCTTTATAGCAAATGAATATTCTATGTTTTCAAAGAATTAGAACAAAATTTAACATTAGCATCACATTGGCTAAAATTAAATCTCATTCTGATGACTCAAGAGATGCTTAAAAATCTTGTCTTGACTTGAAATCACCATGAAAAACATTTATTATTCTATATATGTGTAGAAACATTAGTAATAAAAATGTTCTATTCACCACTCAAATACATTTCTTTGGCATTTTTTCAAATGGCAAGAGAAAATTTCCTATCTAAAATGATCACTGAGTAAAACTGATAGATTTGTGTATTCATTCTTAATGTCTACATTTGCTTATTTAGGTCCACTTTGTGTCAGAGTTATGAATAGACAAATTAAAAGTAAGGTATTGGGTAAGTTATTCATTGTAAGTAGCAGGGCTGAGCTCATCTGACCCCTATAATATATTGTTAAGGGAAACATAAGCAACTGCTTGAAAATAAATATACATAAGATAAAAATTCATAAACTTTATGCAATCACAAGAATTGCATTGATGAGTTTCCCCCACTATGCTTAAACTTGAAAAAGAAAATTGGGGTGATGGCTTACTCAAAATTTGAAGTACACAAAGATCCTTTTATTTATTTACTTATTTATTTTGCCTTTTAAAAATGAATTATCTTGAACAAAGTGTTTTTAAAAGGTACCTTAATTAACTGGTAGTTTTGAACTCCGTTTATTCCTATGTCAGGATCAATGGCTGCTGGGAGAGCATATCGAGAGTTTATAGCCGAATTCTCCGGAATTGATATGTTGATAACTGTTGCTGGGAATAATGGCGCATTATCATTTACGTCTTCTATCAGAAAACGTATCTTAACCAGTCTAAATATTTCATCTGGCAAAACAGCAACCTCCACTTCATAAAAGCAACGGGTTTCCACCAGGATACCAGCACACAATTTCTCACGATCAATGCGAGTTCCAGCAGTGAAGATCTCACCAGTACCTTCTTCAATTCGAATCAGTGGCACATCACCAGTCTTGTACACTAGCTTAAACTGCATAGGAGATGTTAAGGACTTGTCTGGAATCAGTGACAAGTTGAGGTCTTTCAGCAAGTCGCCTATCAGAACGTTTTCTGGCATTTCTTCTCGGACGGTGTAGTTTTTCTCCTGGGCGCCAGACTGAAATACGACACATGCTAAAAGGACCGCAAATATATACGTCCCAGACAACAAGTCCATACCAGGCACAATTGTGATGATTCTCTGTATCAACCCACAGAAAACTGTCAAAAAGAAATGGGGGAAAAAAAAAAAAGAGAAGAGGAAGAGGAAGAAGAAATTATTAAAGCCAACCAACCATTAAATGTATGTTAACTAAATGTTCAGTTTTAAAATCCTTAAATTAAAATATTAGCACAATTGACTCTTAAATAATGTTATGCATTTTTCATAAAGATAAAAGGTAAATTATACAACATACCTACAGTAATTAAAAGACTCAGTATTTGTAAAAGTGGTCATCATTGATAAAATATATAAAAGATATACCAAGAAAGATAAAGTTAATAAAAATAATTAAAAACAATTCAATACTTAAGTAAAGTAACATATATTTGTGACCAATCAAAAAGTATAATCATTATTCTTTATTATAATATGGCTTTCAAATGTAACTCTTCTACTGGTAATGAATATTTTATACAAAAGTCCTTGTGTTCAGTTCTGTACCTCAAAAGAGACAAAGAATCATGACATATGAGGAATTCAGAAAGTTTGGATTAAAGAAGAGAAGTCCTTTGAGAAAGGAAGGGGTTGATGTGACACATGCCTAAACATGAGAAGGACTATCATGTGAAAAGATTAAAGTTTTCTTTCTTTGGATGAGGGGAAGAAGGATAGATAAAAATTACAGGGAGGCAACTTTCAGATCAACATAAAAAAACTGCCTATTAAAGCGTTCTGGGAAAAACAAAAACAGTTTTCAGGAGATAGTAAGAAGCTAGATAACCAGTTTAGATCTACATATCTATGATTAGGTAGATAAGATCTAAAACAGTAAGTGGGAGAGCTAGACTAGAAGACATTCCGACTTTGAGAATTTGTGTCTATACACTGAAAGTAGATCATATTAAAATGGGTTTTTATATCTACAAACTGACACCCAAAAAACAAATAATTCAGTTAAGAAATGGGCAGAAGACATGAATAAACATTTTTCCAAAGACGATATCCAGATGGCTAACAGACACATGAAAAGGTGCTCAACATCATTCATCATCAAGGAAATACAAATCAAAACCACAATGAGATACTACCTCACACCAGTCAGAATGGCTAAAATTAACAACTCATGAAACTCATGAGACAATAGATGTTCACAAGGGTGCAGAGAAAAGGAAACACTTTTGCACTGTTGGTATTCTTATACAAACTTATACAAACTGGTACAGCCACTCTGGAGAACAGTATGGAGGTTCCTCAAAATGTTAAAAATAGAATGACCTTATGACCCAGCAATGCACTATTAGGTATTTATCTAACGGATACAAAATAGTGATTTGAAGGGGCACATGCACCCCAATGTTTACAACAGTATCATCAACAATAACCAAATTATGGAAAGAGCCCAAATGTCCACTGACTGATGAATGGATAAAGAAGAGGTGGTATATATATACAATTGAATATTACTCAGCCATCAAAAAAATGAAATCTTGCATTTGCAATGACATAGATGGAATGAGAGTGTACTATTCTAAGCGAAATAAGTCAGCCAGAGAAAGACATATACCATAGGATTTCACTCATACATGGAACTTAAGAAACAAAACAGATGAACCTAGGGGAAGGAAAGGAAAAATAAAATAAGATAAAAACAGAAAGGGAGGCAAACCATAAAAGACTCTTAACTATAGAGAAAAAACTGAGGGTTTTTGGAGGGGAGGTGGGTGGGAGGATGGACTAAATGGGTGATGGGCATTAAGGAGGGTACTTTTTGTGATGAGCACTGGGTGATATATGTAAGTGATGAATCACTAAATTCTATTCCTGAAACCAATACTATACTATATGTTAAGTAACCTGAATTTAAATTAAAAAAAGGAATTGATGCAACTATGAATGCATCAAAACTTTTAAAGGCTCAGCCAACAGATGATAATTTAAAAATCCATTACAGAAAAAAAAAATTTTTCATTACAAAAAATTATTAATGCACATAAGTATATAATTAAGGAAGTTTTCAATATTTATTGGTAATTGACAGCATTAACAAAATTCTAGTAATAGCTCTAAAAACAGGAAGACTCATGAAATGGTGTAAATAACTTGCTATAAATATTATGGTCTGAATATGGCAGACAATGTATTACATTAAATAATTTTTCCACTGTATAGCTGTGCATCTGCATTTTTTAAAAAATATGCTTATGGACAGGTCAGAAGACACAAAAGTGAGAAAAAAGAAACCTTCTTATTTGCAATCAATTATAGAATAAATGTATTTGTTACAATGATTGAAATAGTTTAGGTCATTAATAGAACCAAGAAATGAACCAGATAAACTTGAAACACCTCACTTTAAGGAATTATTATCACCCAAGTAAGAAATATATATATGAGTCCACCTACTTTCCTGTGTTGAGCAGTTCATGCCATTTATAAAACATTTTAATAGTAATTCTAATACTGAGTAATTCTAATACTGAAGAAATTCTCTATCTTAACAAACAACACAAAATGATTATTGCCTGTGGTATTTTTAGCCCATTTGCTCAATGATGAACATTGGAATTACATAATATAAAACTTTTCACAAGATTAATTCTCTTTAGAATTATTGGCCCTATATAAAAATACCCATTTATACTTATTGTGTTAATATCCACAAATATAATTGTGTCCTATATAATATAAATCTAGGGCATCTAAAATAATTCAGTGTGTGTGGTTTTGTAAGTACTATACAAACATAAGCAAAAATAAAAATGGGATAGTGACAATTGGACTTAAAACTACTACTCTCATCTTACCCTTAAGCATATACACATTATTACAACTGGCAGAAGAATGCTACAGACCATTTTTCAAACACTGCATGCATGTTGCAATATCTCTATACAAGAAGAAGAGTTAAGAAAGTGACCTAATTCCAAGCAGTCCCCCTCTGCCAACCCATTCTACATCTGTTCCTCTCTTTCTTTAATAACATCATCAAATAAAACATTTTTAAATGTGTTTTATCATTTGAAATTCCTTCAGAGATTTTAAAAACTGGAAAGTATTAGAAAAAAAGGACAATGACATTTCTAAAATTTAAGGAAATATCCATATTGCAAACCTAGAAGGAATATTTAACATCTAGTTAGCAATTAGTTTCATAAAGGTTTAGTCACTTAGTCAACAAACATTTTTTAAGCTTCTTTTTAATATGCCAGACATTGTTCTAGGCACTGAGAATAAATCAGAGAACAAATCAGACAAAAATCTCTGTCCTCATAGAGTTTATATTTCATAATATAAATATTCCAGAATGTCTTTAATTCAGGGTTCAATCAATGCATGACAAACTCAACTTTCCCTCTAACAAGATGTAAACATGCATGATTAAATAAGCTCAAACTCAACTTTCCCTCTAACAAGATGTAAACATGCATGATTAAATAAGCTCAATCTCCAGATTTTGATTCCAACCCCTTACATTTACCACTTGAAAATGTATTATAGGGGCACCTGGGTGGCTCAGTCGGTTAAGCGGCTGCCTTCGGCTCAGGTCATGACCCCAGGCTCCTGGGATTGAGCCCCGCATCAGGCTCCCTGCTCAGCAGAGAGCCTGCTTCTCCCTCTCCCTCTGCCTGCCGCTCTGCCTACTTCTGCTATCTCTGTCAAATAAATAAATTTTGAAAAAATGTATTATAATCTTTAAAATTAGAAAGGTTTTCCTTTAAAATGCTGAGTTTTCTTCCTTGACTGACCAATACAGAAATTTAGTTACCAAACATGGATATAAAAAATCACTGCTGGGGCGGAGCAAGATGGCGGAGGAGTAGGAGACCTGGATTTCATCTCCTCTCAGGAATTCAGGTGGATAGGGATCAAGCCATTCTGAACACCTACAAACTCAACAGGAGATCGAAGAAAAGAATAGCAACAACTCTCTGAACAGAAAAGCGACCACTTTCTGGAAGGTAGGACGTGCGGAGAAGTGAATCCGAGGCGATATTCTGGAGGATAGACGGTGGGGGAGGGGCCTCCGTCCGCCGCTTCTGGCAAGTGATAGAGCCACGGAGCATAAAATCGGAACTTTTAAAAGTCTGCTCTGCTGAGGAACGTCACTCTGGTGGCTAAGCGGGGGGTGGATCCCTCCAGGACAGTGTGGTCTCAGGACCCTCAGGGTCACAGAAAGACCGGGGGTGCCTGAGTCTGGCAGAGCTCCCAGGTAACGGAGCAGGGAAGCTGGCTGCAGAGGCGGAGCCCAGGCGCGGGCTCTCAGCTCGGGGTTGCCATAAACCTTGATCTGGGGCACAGTCGGGCCACTGCTCCTCCAGCAGGGACCCAACAAGCGGCAGATCCGGGGAGACTCACCTTCCTCCCCCGGGAGGAGCCACGCGGGAGTGCACCGCAGGGATCTGCTGGGTTTGGAGACTCCACCCAGGGTCGGGTGCAAGAGAGAAACGCGCGGTCACAGGCAGGGTGAGCACAGAGTGCGGTGGGAGACCAGGGAGACGGGAGTGACTGACGGCTTTTCTCTGGGGGCTCACTGAAGAGCGGGGCCCCGAGTTCTCGGCTCCTCTGGGGCAGAGATTGGGAGGCCACCATTTTCACTCTCCGCCTCCAAAGCTGTACAGAAAGCTCGCAGGGAACAAAAGCTCCGGAGAGCAAACCCGAGCAGATTACGTAGCCGGGAGGGGGCAGGGCGGGGCAATTCCGCCTCTGGCAAAGACATTTGGAAACCACAGCAACAGGCCCCTCCCCAGAAGATCAGCGAGAACAGCCAGCCAAGACCAAGTTTGCCAATCAATGACAATGGCAGAACTCCAGCGCTAGGGGAATACTGCACATAGAATTCATGGCTTTTTTACCATGATTCTTTAGTCTTTCAAAGTTAATTTTTTTAACTGTCTTTTTTTCTTTTCTTTTTTTTTTTTTGAATTTTTCTTTTTCCCTTTTTCAACCAAAATCTTATCAATCCCTTTTTTTAAAAAACATTTTTATTTTTCATTTTTAGAGTCATATTCTATCCCTTCATAGTAGTTACCCATATTTTTGGCATATATATATAAGT